TTTTTTTTTTTTTTTTTTTTTTTTTTTTTTTTTTTTTTTTTTTTTTTTTTTTTGGTTTAAAAAAATTTTTTTTTTTTTTTTTTTTAGATGTACCGATTTTTTTTTTTTTTTTTTTTTACAGCGTCTCAAGTCAGTTTGCACCCGACGATAAATCTGGTCACGTACGTGGTTCCCTGTAGCAACGCGCCTCTACACATTTACACGCGCCAAGGACGCCGCGCCAACAAGGCCCGCGACTTCGAGGCTTTTCATTCACCAAGGTTCGATCATCCGAGATCGTTTGATGCGACTACTTTTTTGTCGTTTGCGTGTAAAGTAACTTAATTGTTTTTCTCTCTCTTTTCAGGTGGGGAGGCATCGTCATAGTCAATCCACCCGAAAAGTTTTGCGAGACGACCAAAGAGAGCGACGTTTTCACGCCCGATCAGAAAATGATCCTCGAAGCGTTTATCACGCAACTCAGGCTTCTCCTCGGTATTACCGACAAGGTACCCAATTTTTCATCCAATTTTGAAAACAACTACCTACTAGTACACTGTTTAAAAACGAATTGATCGATACGGTTGTATCTGTGTTATTTTAAATGATACAAATAAAAAGAGCGAGATTGCTCTTAATTCGAGCACAAATTGCCAATGAGAGAGCGAAGCAGTAGTATCAAAGACAAATCTATCCCTTCGATCGACCGATGATCGTCAGAGCTCTCCGATGCGCGTTTCGTTCGACGAGATGACTCAAACAAAAAGATAGATCACCAAAGTGAAGAAAGATAACTGATGCTTTACAGGAGTCGATAGGCGGAGTGGGGCTGGCACCGTTGGAGGGTCTTAAGCCTCGTGGCTGGGAAGTCGACGACCTATTGCGCATCAGGTCGGTCGAGCAGCTGACTTCGGCAAAGTTGACCCTCCAGTCCCTAGCCAGGCTCTTGAAGGAGATCAGTAACATCGTCATCACGGATCAGGTTGGCGAGCGCATCAACAGGGCGCTCACTCTCATACAACGGTCCACGGAGCTCTTGTCCAAAGGGGATCTCAAGAATGGGTTTTTAGCCAGCAAGGAGGCCTTTGTTCAGTCAGAGGCTGCCTTTACCGATCCGTCGCTGCTTGCGCTGCTCTACTTTCCTGACGATCAGAAGTGAGTGGCAGTCTTTGGTTTGCATTGCTCTTATACGATTCATTGCGAATGATTTGCGTTTGTTTTGCAGGTATGCCGTGTACATTCCGCTCTTCCTGCCGGTTATGATACCGGTGCTGTTTTCGTTGAAAAACATCAAGAACTACCTATTCTGCTCAAATTGATTTTTTTATGGATGATTGCTATGTTTGCTGCAGTTTTTGTAAAGCTCAATAAAAAAAAACCTTTTTCGTAAATACATTATGTGGCATGTCATTTATCACATTTTAATTTTCCCGCTGTACTGTATAAATATGAGTGTGTGTGGTCGACGCGCGCAGCACACCTTTGGATTTTCAGCAGAAGCGTGTCAAATATATCAACATTGTGTTGTGTCATAAACGTGAAAGAAATGAAGTAAAGTATACGTGTGCATGATAAATAAAAAAAATTTCCCTTACAAGTATCTTTTTATACATTAAGTAGTCAATTTCTGCAAGAGCCACCATGGCCGAGTTGCTCCTAGATCCAAACATCCGGAGTTGGGTGTTTTTGCCCATTGTTGTCATAACCTTTCTAGTCGGAATTATCAGGCACTATGTTTCGATTTTATTATCGTCCCAGAAGAAGGTTGAGTTGCACCAGGTGCAAGACAGGTATTTGATTATGTTCATCATTGTCTCATAAAATCTTGATGGTTCAACTTCTTCATTGGTTTTTTTTTTTTAATTTACTTTGTTTTCGTAGCCAGGTGATGATTCGTTCGAGACTGTTGCGTGAAAATGGTCAGTACATACCCAAAAATGCATTCCTCGCTAGGCGACATTTCTTTAATAACGAAGAGACTGGATACTTCAAAACCCAGAGACGGGCACCTGTTTCACAGAATCCAATGACAGATCCCAGTATTGTCACAGAGATGGTCAAAGGGAACGCTACCAATGTTTTGCCTATGGTTCTCATTGGAACTTGGATCAATTGGATGTTTTCTGGTTTTGTTACAAGTAATAATCAAGATTTTTTATTATTACATGCATTGTTTTATCAGGATGACGCTCATGCTTATTTGTCTACTTTACAGCCAAAGTGCCATTTCCTCTGACCTTAAGGTTCAAGCCAATGTTACAAAGAGGAATAGAGCTGGTAACCCTTGATGCAGCCTGGGTGTCATCAGCCTCCTGGTACTTTTTAAATTTCTTTGGTCTAAGGTCGATTTACACGTTGGTTCTTGGAGAAAACAATGCTGCAGACTCCTCAAGGATGATGCAGGATCAGGTGTCTGGAGCAGCTATTGCAATGCCCCCTGATCCCAAAGCAGCTTTCAAGGCTGAGTGGGAGGCACTGGAAATATGCGAGCACAACTGGGCCCTGAACGGAGTCGATACCGACTTGCTCGGCTTGAAAAGCAAGTGTGACAGTGGTGATAACTTGTATCTGCAGAGCAAGTCAAACCAATGAACTTTTTCCATATTACATTCAATTAATTGTAATGATTATACAGTGTTTCATTGTTTTAAAAAGAGAAATAGTTGTACAAATGTTTGTTTGTCCGTGTGAAAGGAGCACAGTGACGTTTATTTATAAATATTATACAAAAATAACAATCACATGAAAAGCTTAATAAACTTGTGGAAGTCTTTTTTTACACGTTTGGCATACACAGTTTATAAACGAAAACAAGCGCAATATTTAAATTATATACAAAGTAAATAACAGATGATTAAGAACATTTGGGGAGCATTGTTGGATATAAATCCGTTCTTCTATGCTGTTCATTTGGCATGATTCTTCTTACTTTATTCACGATTTCTAAATCTATTTCAGCAACAGCAACACCTTGCTTATCCATGCACTGAGCAATCACTGTACCCCAAGGATCAACAACCTAGTAAATAATCATCATTTTTATGAAACTTTTTTTTTTTTTTTTTTTTTTTTTTTTTTTTTTTTTTTTTTTTCCTTCGTCTGAGCTGTATTCGATATACTTTTGTTGAACGTGTAAAATGATACATTTTTTTTTNAGTAAGTTATTGTTGAATCATAAGAATGATAACATCGTTTGGTCAGCATATTATTTGTTAAAAAAAAAAAAAAAATAGACAAGTGCCTTTAATACGAAAATACTTGGTATATTTTGATGAAAATTCATCTATTGTACAATCATTTACAGTTTAGATAAGTTCGGCGAGTAATTTGTTATCAACGCCCACAAAATCTCAATTTTTCGCATAGTATTGATTAAAATTAACATTTCTTGTGTGTAACAAAATACAATTTCTAAAGTACTAAAACAATCGAATATTTCATGCACTAATTCTTCAAGAATTTAAAGAAACCTTACAAAAATAGTGTTAGATAGGACACAGAAATTTTTGTAATAATGTAATTGGCAAAACGACTTGATGAACGACGACACGTTTATATTAAATTCATCCTCGCCCTTAATCGCGCCTGAATGTAAGCATCGGGGGACGGACTCGAGAAATCAAACCGCGTCAGTCGATTTTCTGAGTTTTTCTTCGATTCCTCTGATTTTGGAGCCGCATTTCTTTGATACGGTCTTTTCCTTTTGTACTTTTTACAAAGAATTTTACCAAAGGATGAGACCGTTTTTTTTAAAGTGGCATTTTTGCTACCTCTAATATTAGTGTTTTCTTTTTTCAAAGTATCTAGAAGACATTCTAAGAGATTATTATGCATTTTTTTATTATGACAGCTTTCGGTATCAAGTTTTTCTTGCTTTACGATTATGCTATTGTTGGTGTCGAATACTGCTTGATTTATGATTATGCTAGTATCAGCATCGAGTTTTTCTTGTTTTATAATTATGCTACTATCGAATTCAGAAACTAACGTTTCCATGTTCAAGTCTCCTGCATCTAATTTTTCTTCTTTAATTTTCAAATTTGCAAAATCAATGGATATAACTTGAGGCTCGTTTTTTGAAATTTCAGATTCTAATAATTTTTCTTTTTTTATTTGAATAATCGATTTTGGAGCTATGCAAGGAGAGTTGGTTTCTGAATTTTCTTGTTTCTCTGAACAGTTAATATTCAAATCAGAAATAGAACTAACGGACGGTGTGTCTGGCTTTTCAAGCTTGATGCCCTTAATAGTGTCAAATTGAGAAGGTAAATTCGTTTTCAAATCTTTTTGGCTTGCAATTTTTAAATGCTGAGCAGTCAAGTCAGCAAGGGAGCTAAAGGACTGCTTTTCATTTTTTATATTGATTTTTGGAATTATATACGCAGAAGGTGAACTAAAACTTCCTTTACTTTCAGCTTTCTCATTAGATATTTTTAAATGATGAGCTGTCAAGTCAGATAACGAATCGAATGAAGGTAATTCAATGGGATTTGATGGCTTGGGATTTCCAAAACTCATTTTGGGGATTGTAAAACCGGAGGGAATGTTTGATTTTTTTTCAGGCATATTTAAATGATGGGCACTCAAGCCAGCAAGACAACTTAAGGAAGGATTCGAACTAGAGCTATCTTTAACTGACTTTGGAGTCTCAGAAATTATAGCAGAAGTCGATGAGGACTCTTGAGTATTATCACTCGTATCATAGCAGTTTTTAAAGTTCATTGAGCTAAAATTACTACTTATGCTACTCAATGGATTTTTAAGGTGAGAATCTTACCTTACCAACAAAATCGGAGGTACCATGAAAAAGAAATAAAGAAAAAAGATTACATTAGATTTATTATCAAACCTTGTGTTAGTATAATTAATGTTAAACAAACTCACCTGATTGAGCTTGAGCCAATATTTTGCCTCCTTTCTGCTTCTCTATAAATAAATGACACATTTCATTCAACAAATTCTACTAACCAATAATAAATTAATAAATGATATCAAAATCACCTTTTCTGCTTCCATCAGTTTGTTCACTTAAAATCGAGTTGATAACAGCTTCTGTGTTGTAGTTGAACTGGACAATTTTTTTATTCAATTCTGCGTCTGAACATGTATCTCCAATAATATTTTTTACAGCTTCGACACATGATAACAGCTTGGCTTTATCAAGCTCCGAAAGTTCTGAGGATTTGCCACTGATGGCAGATTCTTCCTCAGCTTCTTCATTATCTTCTTCAATGTCCGGCTCCGTGAAGTATGAAGAAATATTTGCTTGTTTGCTTCTATCAAACATGAATTGTTCCACTGTAAATTTACAAAGGTATGTCTTACCAAAATTACTTTCAAGACAATTAGCTGCAACGTGCATTGCGACAACTGAGCCTTGCCACGCTTAGTTCCGTTATTTAAAGCTCTGAGCAAGATAGAAAGAAAAGTAATATTTCCATACATTGCTCCATCTACTGCAATAAACTTCCAGAGTTTCAACAATAGTCGCATGAACGTGCAAACTTAGCGGATATCATTACGCAAAGAGTGCTGATAAAGGTACAAGCAAAGTAGTACAACTTGATAAACTGGTGCAAAACCAAATTCAACTTACCACTCGGAGAAATGCAGTAGTCGTCCTCCGCGGAACGCCCGTAGACATCATCATATTCATCGTATTCTAAATACACACGGTGATGAGTTTCGAAAAAAATAAGTAAATATACACTTTTGATTATTATAACCTGAAGCTACAGAAACTTACCATCTGTATAGTTCATGGAACGCACGTCCCGATGTCGTGCCATTTTTGTGGATGATTGTGTGTTAATTTTTGTTTCACTGTATTTTAAACAACATATCTCTCACAGTACTTATCTTCCGAAATAACTTATTGTTTACATTCACATCGGTAGTCCATCGGATGAAATTGCCACAAGGAAACGACAAACATGCACCACCATCACCACCACCATTTAGATCATCTGTACCTTACCTAAGAATATTTTTTATGTATTATAATAATAATCTACAAATACAATTACGGTGCTGAACGTGAGCCATGGACGTGGAGTGTGTGCACTTCTGAAGATGGGAAAATTAAACAAACAAATCTAGTAAGTATAGCTCGCATGCGATGGCCAAAAAGGTTTTTTGCATTTGTGGCAGACCAGCAGACGCTAAACTTGATTTTTCGGAACGTTTTGTTTTCATTGCGGCAAACGGTCGGGTTTTTTACTTTTCGTTTATTAAATCGGATCTCGTGGTTCCGTCAATATTCAGCCGTTCAATGAGCAATTGCTATTGGATGAAAAATCAATCTATTCGTGTAAATAGGATTACCATTAAATCAACAATTACAAATTTCATAAGCTAAAAAAGAAATTCAAACGTGAAGGTAAGGCAGTTTTGTTGATAACGTAGAGATCAGCGCGACTGGCGCTGCGTCATGCGTGCGACACTCGTGCACATTTTTTTTCTTGTTCGGTCTTTCTTTCATTCTTCGGAGTTCGTTTGGCAAGGTACGCTGGTGGTTAAATTTTGTTCAATTTAGTAGGAAATAAGATACAATTTTCGACTTAGTACTTAAAAAATCAATCATTTTAGTGCGAAATAAGCTAATCAAGTGTAATTTTATTAATTTTGCAGCACCAAGCAAGTGTAACACGTTAAAATGGGTCCACAAAAGAAACAGGTATGTTTTCTAGGTTATATTGTAACACGTGTTCGTTTGGGTACTGTTAACAATGATTGAATTTTCAACCCATTGAGTATCAATTATTTTTCAAAATTGTTGCATTAGTCTTACACAAGTTTAAAAAAATGGAAGTACGTGTGAATAAATTCTTATGATTTGTTTACGTTTCTGTTTACAGAAAAAAGCAACAGAGAACATCAACTCTCTGTTGGCTCTGGTCATGAAGTCTGGTAAATTTGTGTTGGGCTACAAGCAGACCCTCAAATCCCTACGCCAGGGCAAAGCGAAGCTTGTCATCATATCGGAAAATACCCCTTCTCTTAGGTGAGAGACTGAGAAGTAGTATTCCTTTACTTGATTTGCATGCCCTTTTGTTGCAAAAGGAATCCTATGGAGTAGTCTCATTCCAACCGCTTGTGAGTGCGGTTATCAAGAGTAGTTTTTCTGATGGGTTGTATTAATCTGTATTTTTCACTCTACAGGAAATCCGAGATTGAGTACTATGCTATGTTAGCCAAGACTGGAGTCCATCTCTACAAAGGAAACAACGTTGAACTCGGTACAGCCTGCGGTAAATACTTCAGGGTAGGAACCTTATCGATAACGGATCCTGGTAACTCTGATATCATCAAGTTCATACCTTCTGGGGATCAGGCTTGAGTAAAAAAAATTCTAACTTTAATGATTTATTTTTAAGATCTCTAAATTAATCAAAGAATTTTTTTTATGTAAATAAACTTATTTCCTATTAAAATCTTAATGATTTAAAGTTATTTGTACAAACCAACACTTCAAAACGTTACTTCTACTTTCCAGTTTGTAATCATTCATATTCACCAATCATTAGTAAACTAGATTAATCTTTAGGTTTTGTTGAACAATTCAAGTTATTTCACTTGAAAAAGTTATGCTGCTGAATGAGATTATTAACTAATGAAACCTTTGTTTCTCAAAGTAGTAAAGTAAATTTAACAATCTTAATTTCATAAACATTACAGTACTATTTAATATTTGCTCAAAAATTGCAAAATAACATATTGTCAAATGTCTGTACAGTCTTTCAAAGAATCTGATTTCATGGAGCACAAAAAAATCAGGCTGTCGCACAAAATCCTTCAAGAAAAAAAAAAAAAAAAAAAAGATCACTATCAGTTTACCATTCCCCATACTAGGTATATGCAAAATAATGGTAAGAAAAAATTAACCGTGACGTACCCTCCATCGAGTCACACCAACACTGCACACACAGAAGCGACGCAATTATCCTTGACGCTGCCGCGTAAGTATTTTCAGGAAATCAAAGTTAATTTGCGAAGGTGTCCGATGTCAATAAACTTCTTTCGCGCTTATATTTTACACGGCGCAACGCCCAAGGAAACGTCTTTCTCTGTCCCTCCAATTGTTTTATTTTTCTCACTTCCACGTAGGGTAAGTTAGGAGGGACCGTTAAAACATACCTTTTCTCCCGCTCCAATTCCCTGCAGTGCACACGAGCGCGGAATGGTGCAGGAGTCCACGTCGTCGACCTTCGAAAAGCCGTCGGGGGATTGAGCGTACTTACCAGTCGTTCGTGGGATTTTTTTTTTCTTATCTCATTTCGGACTTCCGCGTTTTTTCGCGCAATGATAAAAACGTAAGCGTAGGCGTGTACGCGATATGGGTCGCCAAGGTGGCTCGCGCCTTCCAAAAATGGGGCGTTCGGATGCAAGTACAATTGAAGCTGGCCGTTTAATTTGGGTGGAAACAACTGTGACTAATAAAACATCCTTCGTGGTGAGGCTGTGCGACTATTCTGTCTTATTTATCTTTTTTTTTTTTTTTTTTTTTTTTTCATTTTAATTATATTTTTACTTACCATAGCATGACCCCAACTAACTCTCTTCTTATTGTGAGTTCCTACTTGAGCAGCTGCAATGACATAACACTGAGTTTCAATGGCTCTAGCTCTTAATAAAACTTCCCAGTGAGCTGCCCCTGTTTGATACGTAAAAGCTGAAGGGAATGTCAAAATTTGAGCCCCCATATTTCTGAGGCAGAATGATAACTCTGGAAAACGCATATCATAGCACTGAAAAAATACAATTTTTTTTTCCTCAGATTTTAATGAAACGTAAAACGAGTATTGGAAATATTTGATCAAAAATATTTCTCACAATGCTCAAGCCTATCTTTCCTGCTGGTGATGATACAGGAGCTACAATTTCATCACCTTTCACAACATAGTCAGATTCCATTAATCTAATTCCTGTATCTTTATTTTCCATATCAAATAAATGAATTTTTCTGTACGTAGCTACCAATTCTCCTTTGTTATTGATAATTATGTGGGAATTTTGCGTTTTATTCTTGTCAGCCACCTGTGATTAGCATTAAAATAAATTTAGAATTTTTGTCAAAATGAGGAAAAAGTTAGCGAATACTAGTAGCTCACAGCTTCGTGAACTCCTCCAAGAGACAACCACATATCTTCTCTCTGAGCTAATTCCCTGTATCTTTTGACTGTCTCTCCATCCAAAGGCTCTGCCATTGCAACAGCATCTGCCTTGTTATCAGCTAAATAATCGCATGCTTCTGGTAAAAAAGCTATCTGTAAACACAATTAAGAAATTAAAACTAATAAAATCAAACGTTAAGTTGAAAACAGTCAAGAAAATTTCGTACACAAGCATTTCTTCGTTTGGCTTCAGCCACCAAATTACTGACAGCCTGGAAGTTTTCCTCCTTGTCGGAAGTAGATGTCATTTGACAGACTGCAATAAGGGGATTTGACATTGTGCTGATTTGGAGCATCGATATTTTGGAACTGGAAACAAACATGACGTTTAAAAAAGGAGTTATATTACGATTATGACTAAGATGGGAAATATTTACTTGATGTTTTCGCAGAGCTGGAAGGACACCTTCTTTGAACATGCTCGAATCATATTTTTTAGTATCTCTGGAGGAGCGTTTTTTTTCTATTTAACTTGTCAGAGCACCTCACCTATGTGTAAACAAATATCAGCTGATCTCTTAACCTTCAAATGATGATACTCGTCACTACGGAGATATGTCGAAAACAAAGTTTTTATCATTTTATTGTTACAAAAATGATAAAATTAATGACAAATCTTCATCCTACAACACAATTATTCATAAAATGTTGTTTTACAATTTTATTGCCTCATTAACGATACTTGTTTTTGAATCACCCTCCTTTTTTTGCCCAAGAGTGTTGCCAATACAAAAATCGTAAGCAAACATTCAGACTTGCAACTTACAAGAGAAATGGGACACGTCAGTCTCGAACGCTCCAAAACGTCAACTGCGCGTTCGTCGATGGTGAGAATCACCTACACAGGAAATTACTCATTGTTGATTGCGTGTTAACAATCATTGAATTGAATAGAAAACTTTGCCTGCTCTGAATTTCATTTGTTTCAATACAGTAAAAATAAGAATAATTTCAAGAATGACGGATTCAGGTTCTGCCCTAATGAGACCTGTCAGGAACGTTTTCAGATTCTTTGGAATGTTTGTTGATGCCATTTATTATTTGTAAGTATATATTTACTACTTTTATTGTCTCTCAAATAGTTGGAATCATTATTGTACGACTTTGTTGACCACACTACTGTATACTGATGAAATTATCTTCACTTTAGTATCAATTCATTGGTCAATCCTGGCAGTACAGGCCGACTTACAAGGTGAGTATTTCATTCTTTTATCTTTAGCTAATTGAGTTTCATAACCATTTTACAGTATTTGAATCAGCAAACTCTAGAGTTTGTGTATGAATATGAGTAAATGCATATTATATTTTACCTACTGCAGTAACAGCAGAGGTTCATCAGGACCAAGAATAGCCACTCTCAGACCTCACGGTTCTGGAGGAAATGCGCCAAACATGGCTGTTGGTGGTTGCAGGAGTTGTATGTAATGCGTATTATGTTTATATTTTTAGTTTTGTAAAAATAATTTCTCAAGTCTTTATGTGCAAATTAATATGAGATTTGTATGTGGAATTAATTCCATAAATGATTTATTATACATATAATTAAATAAAAATTATTTATTTTAAAAAATTTTACGTTGTTTCATTACAATTCAGAAAATGGTACTCTAGCTAGTATTTATAACGTTTGACAGTCTATTTGATCTTCGTTACAAGTCCAGCCGCGATCGTTGCTCCATCAATTCTCAACGTGACTCTGCCCAGCTGTTTAACGTCCTTGTGTAATTCAACGCAGATTGGACTTTGCGTGGTAATTTCGATGATAGCACTTGTGTTTTTTAGGAGACACCTTGGTTTCTTTTTTATTACTTCACCGGTACTGCGATGCAATTGAGCGACAAGTTTAGTGATTATTGCTGGTTCAACAAGAGATTGTTGGTGCAACAGTACAGGCATGCCGTTGGTTAAAGGCACTTTTACATTGAATATGACAACGTGCGCTTGAAATCGATTTGATACAGGCACGGGATTGTGAGGGCTACAAATGATGTCACCAATGGCTAAATTTTGCTGATCGATTCCTGACAGAGTAAATGAGACTTGGTCACCAGCAAACGCGTGTGTTGTATAATTTTCGTCTGCTTGGATACCTGGAGAAATTAATTAGTTCACAAGTTAATTAAACGAATAAATCGTTATCGTGAAAAAATAGTACTGGCACAATACCTTTCACTACGGCAGGTTCGTTGCGAGGCAAAACGACAACTTTATCACCAACTGATACCATACCGGTTTCCATGTGTCCAGAAACGCTGAAACCAGATCCTGTGTTTTTAAATATATCATTGACTGAAAATCTAAATGGCTTGTCTATGGGTCGTTCTGGACATTTGAAGTTATCAATAACTTCAACAAGTGTGGAGCCGGTATACCTGAAAACATTTAAAACATGCTTTGAATTGAAAAAAAAAAAAAAAAAAATCATAAATTAAAAAATTTAATCGATATACTGAAACAAAATTACTTACCAGCTACAAAGACCTGCCTCTGTTGGTTTGGTAACTACATTTTCTCCTGAAAGCCCACTACACGGGACATATGTGACAGCATCGCGGAAGCCGGCTTGCTTAAGGAAAACACCGATTTTGTTGACGATTTCGTTATACCTATCCTTTGACCAATCTACTGTATCCAATTTATTTATAACTACGGTTATTTGTGAAACGCCTGAAAATAAAGCACAGCAAGAATTAATGTATTGTTTCATAAGAAATCATTGCGGAGAGAGTAGCGTTTTCAATATCTTTTTACCTAAAGATCGCAATAACAAAGCGTGTTCCCGAGTTTGACCACCACTGTCAAATCCAGTTTCGAACTCTCCTCTCGTCGCATCAACCACGAGCAAAGCTACATCCGCTTGAGTAGCACCAGTAATCATGTTAGGAATAAAGTCCTTGTGACCAGGAGCATCGAGAAGCGTGATAGCTTTCGTTTTCGTTTCAAATTTCGACTGTCCAACGTCCATTGTGATACCACGCTCCCTAAAAATACATTTTTTTTTTTTTATCTATCTCGAGTTCATAAATTTATCATAAAGAGCAGTAACTTATCAAAAATGTTACCTCTCCTCGCCAGTCTCATCTAGTACCCAGGCGTAAGCAAACGACTGTTTCCCAATCTTTTTACTCTCCTGCTGGTACTTGTGTATCAGTTTCGCTGGTACCTGGCCAAGGTCGCACAGTAGCCTGCCCATCAGTGTGCTCTTGCCAGCATCCACGTGACCGACCACAATCAGATGCAGCTGTTCTTTACAGCCACCTCGTTTGCTTTTGTAGATAGCCAAGGCGTCGCGTTTTTCTTCTTGTGTTTTGGCGCGAGGTTCCGAATCTTCGAACGACGAAGGCGATTGGCTTCTGGGGGACACCGATTTTGTCTAGGTTGAAAGTAAAAATTTGCAATAAATGTTACGAATGTATTAAAAAAATGCTGAAAGTTGATTATTCCAGAAAACTTTGCTCACAAGTACAGCTGGTGCCAATCTTTTGCGGTTCGCAAAGTCTTTGAAGGCAGAATCCGGTGAGCTACGGTCCGAGCAGGGACTCTGCGATCGCGAGGTCTCTGTAGCACTCACGTCGAAGCCCTTGACTACGTTCTTTGGAACAGCAGGAACTACCTTGACGGTCGGCTTTGCCACCGGTTGCACAACTTTCGGTGTCGTTGGCTTGTTTCCTAGTAGAAAGTCTTCAAGTAAGTTATTGTTGAATCATAAGAATGATAACATCGTTTGGTCAGCATATTATTTGTTACAAAAAAAAAAAAAAATAGACAAGTGCCTTTAATACGAAAATACTTGGTATATTTTGATGAAAATTCATCTATTGTACAATCATTTACAGTTTAGATAANCGCCTTTCATCGGCATCCATATACTTACTTTCGAGGACGAAGCTCGTTATTCTTTTTTTTTTTTCTTCAGTTCAGTTTAGTCGATTTGATTTGCAAAGTTACAAATAGCACTCAACTGATCGTGCAAATCAGTAAATTATTTTATTTGCTCTTGACTTTTTAAAGCTTTTCCTTACTTTTCCATCTGAAAAAACAAATTTTCGGTTCCGTTATATTTCCTCGCTTACACATAATTATATAATATGGTGCTGTAGAAAAATGTTTTTAATTTTCGTAAACATTACCTTACACTCCATGCGATACAATTTACTTTGCTCTCGATATATTTTTGCCACAGTATCATCGGCACATATGTCAATATACTCCGAAACGTTGGAAATAACTTGGCGTAAAGCCTCCGGGGCACGTTTGGCTTCTAAAATCGTTCAAACCTGACGACCCGTCAATTCGCAAATCTAAAATATTTCCGACATTCAATAAGCTCTGCTTCAAAAGTAACTGTATATTCGTTGTTTTTTAAATAATATGACGAAAAAAAATACGCATGGAGCAAAAAATTATACGCGGTTTTTAATCGAAATCACGAGGCTTGCGCACATTCATTTCACGCAATTCCAATAAAAAAAAAAAAAAAAAAAAAAAATTGTACAATTGTGTAGAAAAAGAAAGCATCGATGATAAAATACATTGGACGTAGACGTGCGTATTGTCAAATTATTTCATCAAAAAAAAACAAAAAAAACCCGGATTGTTTATTCGTTTCGCTCGCGTACTAACAAGTGTGCAATAATGAAGTTAATAACCATAAAAAGTAACGGCAGGAGGTAATAAACACTTACGCTGCTGATTTCCCTTTCCTCTCAACAATAACGACAAATAGTACATCGCGATGTCGGAAAAACACATATGATTAATTAATCGTTGCATCTCAATTTTTCATTCGTTTATCCATACCTTAACGCTTTTATATGGAAGGAGCAATTAAAAAAAAAAAAAATAAATAAGCAACGCGCGATTAATACACACACCGGCTAATTAATCTAATCGCACAATTTACACGCGCAAGCGTAAGTGTCGGAAAATTAATTTTCCGTGCTATAATACCCTTCTTATTCTATGATTTATCTAATGCGCAAAGTATGTACATATACGCATGTAAACGTACACGGCAATACAACGATCACATGATGGCGTCGCGCGCGCGCGTCATTACTTTATTTTGCACATGCTGCGCTCAATATGTATTGAGCCGATGCAATTTTCGGTCGTGATTCAATGCACCTGATTTTCTCTGCATGTATACTTGTATGCCGATACGCGAGTCTTTTTATAAGAATTATTTAAGTTTAATATTAACGTAACGTTGCGACAAGCAGTGAACTGTGGCCGCTGGAGGCGATGATAGTGACTTGGAAATGCGCTACGCAGATGTGACGTCGCGAGCGGTTCTTCGACAACTCGAGGGGTTCGTTCAAATTTCTCAAAAATTTTTATAAAAAAAAAAAAAAAAATACGCAGTAGAAGGAAATCGTTATTTAACCGATACACTCGTACGAGAGTACTTATTTACGCGCGCAAAAAAAACTCGTATACGTGTGGTGGCCTACCGAACAAAACTTGCGAAATGTAACTTTAAAAAATGTTGCCAAATAATGAGTTGGTAAGAAAAATTTGCAGTTGGGAATTTCTTTCAATTAACTTATGGGAAGTTACATGATGGTTTAAAAATATCGGCGTAAAACTTTATTCTAAATAATCATCCATAGGTTGTGATTAAAAAAAAAAAACTATAATTATCTTTGAAACGAAAAAATATATAAGAATTTCTCACCGATAAGTACACGAGCTCCGATTAATTCGAAACTCCCAAAAATCCATGTTTGTGCAAAAAATTCTCTATAGCTGCCAAAAACGCGAAAAAATCCACCTTAGTAATATATGTATACACATATACGTTGCGCGTCAATCGAAACACCCATTACGTCATCATCGCTTGAGTCATGTAGAAAGGAAAGAAAAAAAATAAATAAATAAACAAAAACGTCCGAGCTCCGTACCTACACGTGCAGCGAAAAATATTTCGCGCGTGATAATCACGGCGATGATTAAATGAAATTTTTCGATCGCGCGTGGGATAAAACGCCGCAGGACTGCTATGGAACGCTGCTCTGGGGAAAAAAAAAAATTTCCCATGTATAGGCTTTTCATCAGCGCAGCAAAATACGGCATTACTTTTGCGCTCATCAGCAGACTTATAGGCTATCGAGTTGAGTGAAACGATACACCCATCGCCGCGAACGTATGATTTTCTTCCGAGAAACTGCAAAAGTACACGAGAAAAAAAAAAATTTACAAAAAATGCGATTTCTCAGATGTCAACGAGTTGCAATTCAATGAGAATCGTTTGAAATACTATATGGTTGTAACTGGTTTCCCAGCTTAAGTAAAACACATACAGCGGCTTCTCCTTTTTTTTTGCCCATAAAATGAAATCATCTTTGTACGCAATCGGTATGACGATCAGGGGTTATATTTCATTGGCAAACAACAACTGAATCAACGATGGTAATCTGGTCACTTGCATTACGTTAGTCACGAATTTTTGTTTCGATTATCATCAGCAAATGCAGCTCGAAAATCCATCTAGTTTACTTCCCAATAAAAATTGGCGCTGAACCGCAGTATTCATACAAATTGCTGGCAAATACTATTGATTTTTTTTTTTGGGTCGTCAACAACCGTTCTTTGGAACTTTCCCGAAAATTCGAATGACCCGTGGCACGCATGTTGCATCTTTTTGGTCAACATTTCGAATATGTATAATTACGTGCACGGGTCTGACTATCCCCGATTTCGGCGTGGCCTCCCGAGTTCAGTGACTCTTGAGTTTTGACGTTCCAGCGAAAAAATCATTTGAAAATAACGTCAGAGTCGGTGGCTAAACGATTTTTAGAAATCCTGATACGTGCAGTACAGTTAATTAGTTTTGATATCGAAAAAACCTCCAATTCGCATAAATTTCAATAACTTTCAAACTCGCAGTGGGGGAACACTGAGTCGAAAACGAAAAGAAAAAAAAAAGGACACGAAAATCGGTCAAAACACGTGTCCGCCCACGCTGGGTCTCCTTCGGAATGCCAACCTCGTCTGAAAGGAAGCAGTGATCTCAGGACACGATGGATCGGCACGTGCGTACACCTTATCATTAATAATAAGTAACACCAATCACCCGAGAATTTTTCCGAAGATGGTTTTTTTTTTTTTTCTTCACGTGTACCTGCAAACGCGCGTCATCATCGACTAATAAAACGATGAGGAGGCGATCTCCTTACGCGCTTGTGCAAGAGCTTGGCCAGTTTATCATCTCGCGATCGAAATCCATCGCGTACACGGTATCCTTCGAAATTTTTCTGTCCGGTTTTCATCTCTTTCCTTGTGCTTTTTCAGTTTCATAGAGGAAAAAGAAACCGTCAAGGATAACATTATTTTTGCCAGGAAACCACAACTTTTCTTTTATTCATAATCATTGAGCGGGTATCGGATACTGGACTCTTTGCGATTGTGTTGGAAAAAAAAAAAAAAAAAAAAAAAAAAAAAAAAAAAAAA